TAGTTTCTTATGTAGAAAGCTGGGAAACTCCAGCTGTGACCAAAACTTTATTTCCAATTATGGTTCTGAATTTATTCTCACGTATGTGTGTTCTTTACACTTTAACTTTCCAAATGTCTGCTCTGAGCAAAATGAATGCAGTTTCCTTTAAAATAAATAAATAAATAAATGCTACTGGAATGCATTTAATGGTATTTATAGCTTCATTATGGCAATCACTGTTGGCTATTTAATTTTCATTTATGTAAACATTCTGCACATAAATGTTTCAGTAATTCCATGAGAAATAAACCAACTGCATTCCAGCAGTAACCAAACCAGGTACTGTATCTTGATAGTATCATTTCAACCATTATTAATAGCATCTTTTAGAGTATAAGAAATCAGCCTGTAGTCTGTGATGTCATAAATTGGATGCACTCCATGCTTTAGAAAAATTAATATTGAATAACAATTACAACAGTTAATTGACTGTGAGTGGATGTGCAGTATGTTATAATAAAGCTAGAATTGTGGCAATATGGACCTCATCCTGCAAGTTGTTCTGTGTGGGTGAACATCTGTGCCTGCACAGAGCCCCTTTGACTTCAGTTGGGCTCCATACAGGCACAGAGGTCTGCCCATGTGGAAAAATTACAGGATAGGGACCTAGGAGGCAAATTTTCAACTAGTGTAAGCTCTCCTGGCTCCACTGAAGTAAATGGAGCTGCTAGTATATTTTTAGAAAACAATCCTTTAATGGAAGTACATGGAATGAACAACTCATTTTGAAGTTGTTCTTGTTTTCCCACCCCTAATCTTTATAATTTACAAAAGTTTTTCACATTCATGTGAAACAAGCACAATGGATTCATGCAATTTGTTTTTAAAATGATCTTTTAAAAACCATGTTTCCATTTATTTTTAACAAGGCCAAAATTCAGTTTCGACCAGCCAAATGAAACAAGTCCATCACATTGGATACAAGGACAAATGGTCAAGAGGAATGTTCTGCTTGGTTTCATATATTTCCCACCAGATACATCTTACTCTCATAATCAGCGCTGTTCACACTCAGACTGCAAAGTAGCAATTCACTTACCTGGGAAAAATCAAAAGATACATTCTACAAATAAATATACACTCTCTACAATGATATCTATTTCAGTATTCTTTTAGAGCCTACTCCTGCAAGGAGAGCTTGTCAGAAGTTTTTAGGCAGAAGGTTTCAGAATGCAATATATTTTGTGAAAATATATTGATTTTGACAACAACAATTCAAAAGAAAAATTGAAAAAACATATAAGGTTGAAATGTTCCATTTTGCCCTTTTTGGAATGGAACATTTTGATTTTCCATTCTGAAATATCTTTTGAAGCTAGTCTGCATGTCAAGTTACTGTGCAGCAAGCCAGGGTGTAAATCTATAGCACTCCAGCTTGCCACACAGTAGATATTGCTACGGAAAATGAAAATCTTGGATTCATAGAATCATAGAAGATTAGGGTTGGAAGAGACATCAGAAGGTCATCTAGTCCAACTCCCTGCTCAAAGCAGGACCAACCCCAACTAAATCATTCCAGCCAGGGCTCGTCAAGCCTCTCAAATCCCCCCTCACTCTTCTCTTCTGCAGACTAAATAAGCTCAATTCCCTCAGCATCTCCTCATAACTCATGTGCTCCACTCCGCTAATAATTTGTGTTGTCTTTCGCTGGACTCTCTCCAATTTGTCCACATCTTTTCTGTAACTGGGGGCCCAAAACTGGACGCAATACTCCAGATGTGGCCTCATCAGTGCAGAATAGAGGGGAATAATCACTTCCCAATGCTCCTACTAATGCAGCCCAATATGCAGTTAGCCTTCTTGGCAACAAGGGCACACTGTTGATTCATATCCAGCTTCTCGTCCACTGTAATGCCCAGGTCCTTTGCTGCAGAACAGCCGCTTAGCCAGTCACTCCGCAACCTGTAGCAGTGCATGGGATTCTTCCGTCCTAAGTGCAGGACTCTGCACTTGTCCTTGTTGAACCTCATCAATTTCTTTTGGCCCAATTCTCCAATTTGTCTAGGCCACTCTGGACTCTGTCCCTGCCTACCAGCATATCTACCTCTCCCCCCAGCTTAGTGTCATCCGCGAACTTGCTGAGGGTGCAATCCATCCCATTATCCAGTTCATTAATGAAGATGTTGAACAAAACTGGCCTCAGGACCAACCCCTGGAGCACTCTGCTTGATACCACTTGATTCACACCCTGGTTTGCCATAACTTGTCACAAGACATGCCCTTTCTTTCATTTTTAATATCATATTATATAATATAAAATTTTGTTGTTCAGTTTTTTTATATTTTGAATATTCAAAATTGTGGATTTCCCTGTTAAATGAAAAATCTGATTTGCACCCAACCCTGCCCACAGGATATTGAGTTTAGTCAGTGCTTATTGACTTTGGTAGGAATCAGGTCGCTCACCACCATGTGAGGCTGCTCATCTCCTTGTAGGATTGGGTTTTTGTTTTTGATCTTTGTAGCTCTGAATTTCTCTTTGCCAAAAATATATTGTTATGAAAAATTAATGTAATGTCCATTAGTTTTTATATGCTCCATGAAATGATTCACATGTATTTATTTGACAAAGTTCAATGTACAACTCCTGAAACTTGGTAAAAGAGAGAATCAAACCAAGCACTGGATTACTGGATTCTGAGATATCACAGGCCAGATGCTTAACACCAGATTCTGCTCTTATTCACAGTGGTGTAAATTCCACTGGTGCCAACAAAATGAGAACAGCATCTGGAACTGTGAATAAAGGATCTGATCCCAACTTTAATGAGGATTTTGCCCAAATAAAGGCGGAATGATCAAACTCCAAAAAGTTTGGAAATGGTGCCATGTCATTCAATGGGATTTTTGTTGGTATTAGGATGGGAGGTATAGTTACTGATTCTGCAGTGGTAACTGTCAACCCCTAGAGAGTCATGTGTTCATTCATTCTGAAGCACCCAAATGTTTCCCAACTAGCACACTCAGGCCTTGGCTACACTTGCAGCTGTACAGCGCTGTGAGGTAAACCTGTCTTCGTACAGCTGAGTAGGGAAAAGCGCTGCAGTCTGTCCATACTGACAGCTTCCAGCGCAGTGGCGTGGCCACACTTGCAACATTTGCAGCTGTGTTGGGAGCGGTGCATTATGGGCAGCTATGCCAGCATTCATGTGGCTGCAACGTGCTTTTCAAAACGGGGGTGCGTTGGGGTGGATTGTGACAGGGAGTGTGTGTGTGGGGGGGG